GCATGAGTAGGTAAAAGTAAAACAGCGGGGACTCTTTCCCTTTATCCCCTGCTGCATTTCTTTTCTCTTTTCCTTTGTGGGGCTTCCAGTTTTTTGTTCAAATGAGTGGAGGTGTACCTTGCATTCTGTCCCTGGCCTGTAATTAGTATAGTAACTTTGGATCGTATCATTTAGCAATACAGGCTTTCCTTAAGTTAGTCGAATTATTGGAAAGAAAGATGAGTAGAGAACTTTAGCCGCAACAAATAAAAAAAGACATATAACGCCGAAAACACTCTTGATTTTTTTTTTTTTTTTTTTTGCATAATGATACATATAGTCTAACATAGCCTACTCCTACTCCTACGGGAGAGAACCTACTCTAGGGAGTAGCCCAACTAAACCAAAAGAACCTGACGAAAATTGAACCACCATCAGATCAGACGGATGTACCACGCATCCGCATGAATTTAAAACAATTCTCATACAGAGACACATTGATTTAAGTATGAAAAAATGCTCTTGATTTAAGAAACAGTTGATTTTTTTTTTTTGTTTGCAAATTAATTTGTAAAATAGATGTTTGGATTGCATATTTTTTAAAAAGTTTTCAAAGAGAAATAACTTGTAATACTTTTGAACCGCATTAGATGATGTTGTCATTTAATCTTCATTCATTTGTAGCTAATTTGACAATTGAACCGAGGTCAGACGAATCAAATATAAACATATAATGGTTTCTCTCTCAAAGAGAAAGTAACAAACATTCAACTCAACGAAACCTTAAGAGGGTAAAAGTGCAATTAATTAACCCTAGTGATGGTGATAAATTGATAATGATAATGGACTGCAGGCAACCTTGGATCCGAAGCAAACCAAAGTATAGATGTTCTCGTGATTGTGTCGACCTTTCCCCCCCCCCCCCCCAATAAAAATAGCATAACAGAGACGTCCCACCTTTTTTTTTTTTTTTTTGTCAAAAAAATGTATCCGTAATTATGATGTCCCACGTAAAACATTATACCGATCAATCATTTGGGTGCGTGCAAACAATATTATAGATGGTGGTGAAGAATTTCTTTCCATCCCCAACGTAAGAATATGATTCTGAAGTTTAACAAGTCAAGTCTAGCGTTATGAGATTTGGGAGTAAATAAATTGATGCCATCTCTTCTCTTCTTTTGATAACAACAATTAGCCTAAACGCTTCTTTTACAGCAAATTAATTTGACTTCCGAGGAGCTTGTTTTAGCGTAGGAGTAGTTACGTAAAAGACAAGAGCAGTAGCTAGGGGCGCTTTTACGAACTGTTTTTGGTACTTGGAAGGGGGAAAAAAAAAAAGATTGAGGTGAATTATTATTATTGATACTGATTGAGGTGATATATACATATATGTTCAAAAATTGGGGGCAGATATTTAATTATTATTGTATCCTCCGATTTGTACCTTCGGACCAAGAGATTTGTGGGCAACGTTCCAAATCGAAACAAACAAAGGAAAAAACAACAACTACTGCTGTATCCGAAGGCATTCTAACAAATAATAATGGCTGCACGTGGAGACGTAAACCCGTCCATGCAGGTGATGAGATGTTAATTCAACCGTTATCATCAATCATCAACAGACAAACAAGAACAAACATTTGGATTGCATTTTTCATGAAAAAATTACTGTAGCGATTTGATGCATGTGAGGGAAAAAGCTAATAAGGAAATGTGATTACGAAAAACAACGTAATTTTCCGACGGAAAGCTGCAGTCCAAACAAGGCCTTCTTGTTGGGTCGAAAACAAAAAATGCTTATATATATATATATATATATAAGGAAGATTTCTTGATAAGTTGAAGTATTATATGGCCTTTTTCCCTGATTATTAAATCAATTCATGCAGTATATGAAAATGGAGATAGTGGAACATACACACAGAAGAATAAGGGCTGTGGACAGCAACAAAAGAACCGACGGCGGAACATGCATTTCATGCAAATGGTTATGGTATACAGCCCACGATCGCATTATTGATGCCATGTCAAAACTAGTCCACAAAAAAAAAAGGGGGGGGGGGGGGGATATAATGTCCTAATTCCTTTTTCCGTTCTATCCCGTTGCTTTCGACATTTCTGCATTCCATTAATGATCTCATGCTATAAAAACAAGGGCGCCTATCCTGATTTTCTAATCTTATCTCATCAATTAAAAGTGTGCTTTGCTGCAAAATAGTACTGTACTACCACTAAAAGAATGATAATTAGCAAAAATGCCGTGGTCGATCGTATAAAAAGAAATCGGTCCCATAAAGTGGGAAAGGTGGTCGATTATCAGGCTTCAGTCCGTCTGGAATGATATATATAAATGGAGTACGTCCTATCAAATAAAAGAGTACTATAACGTTAAACGCGTTCTTTGGGCCCTTGAATTAAGCATGGGAGGAGCTTTTGTCTTCTAATATTACCAGTGCTGCATTACTTATTACGAAATCAAATCAAAGTGATGACAACACAAGTATGCCACACACACGGCTCAGAACCAAAAAAAGCATATTTTAAACCATTCATTCATAAAAGAATCTACGTACGTCAATTCCATTCCGCCAGAATACAAACTTCTTCACAGCTAAATGACAGGGCAAATCCCAGAAACAGGGACAAGATTCATGAAATGAAACTTTATACTTTATCATAGTATGAATGTATATATTCATATTTTATAATTAAATATTTTTCAAATTAACTTCTCATTTTTGTAAAAAAAATTGACCCCTGAGACCTCTAACATGTATTATCTTTCATTTTCATTTCCTTATGGTTATTACTTTTACTTTTTGTTTTCTTTAAAATCAATTTTTCCCTTTTCTCCAAGAGAAGAGAATATAGCTAAACTGATACAAACAGATTTACAGTTGTTATTCCAGAGAAATGTTAGGTGATTTATGTCGCACTAGATTTGATTCTATTAGTTGGCCCAAAACAGAACATTATGAATTGATTTATGATTTTCCATGTTCGGGATGGAAAAGTCCGCGACTGATACATCTTTTGAATATTAATGATGATGAATTCATGAGTTAGATCTCCATTTCTTACTTTTAGATGCCAAACCAACCGATCAATTTATTTAGTGGAATGGGAGTTCAATTTTGTCATCGGAGCCATTTCAACCCCTAAGCCAATTTTCTCTATTTTACATGCACTTGTCTTTGGGGTCATTTTCAACCGCTACTTCATTTCAATTGTTGTTTATAGGGATTTTTACCCAAAAGATACAGAGCCCATTTGAATTGCATTTTATGGAAAGTACATGAGAAGAAATTACTGTAGCACTTATCCGAATATATGAGGTACAAATATGATTAAAAAATGTATTGAATAAATATTTATAAAAAAATGTAAAAATTATTCTTCAAAAAAATAACAACCTATAGTACATTTTTTAATAGACACGTGTGACTATAAAAAGGTAATTGAAAGGTAACTTTTAAAAGATTTTCAAAAACATATTCATGGACAACCCATTGTTATCCAAAATAGACTTATGATATTGTTCGTTTTGGATTGACCTATTTATCAAAAATAAGTTTTTCAAATGCAATGCTACGGTAATACATAAACAAAAACAACTCAAAAAGTATATCATCCATACAATATATCAAAAATAACTGACAAATATACAACAAAAAAAAAAATTCTGCAACATTTTCTACCTATCACCACCCCTCCCTCATCCCCACCCACCACCGTCACCACCCCACCTCCCTTTTCCTGCTTCCCTCCTTTTCTCCTCCATCCCCCTCCACCCCCCAGAAGGTAGCAACCTTTTGGTCGTGATCTGGCCGCGACCAAATCAAATGGGGGAGGGGAGGGGAGGGCCGAGGATTGGCGGGGAAAGGGAGGGAGGAGGAGAAGAGGGAAGGGGTGGTGTTGGTGGTGGTTGTGGTTGTGGATAGTAGTTTAATTTTTAAAAAGTATTGAAAAAGTATTTTAATTTTAAAAGGTATCCCAAAATATATATCAAAAATTCTTTTAAAAAATTATTTATAGTAAAAATTTTTCATATACACTGCTTCAGTAACATATTTTAAAAATACTTCTAAAAATAACTAATCCAAACGGGCTGTAGAACGCAGTTCAATAAATCTATAGTTGAAATACAAGTATGATTAATATGTGCTTTTCTGTGTAATGAGTCGTATCCCAGCAAACTTTGATGACATGGTGGTTGGTACCCTGTGGATCGAGCTACATCAAATACACGAAGTACCTACAAGAGTTACTTGGGCTAGCTCAATTTTAGTCAATGAGGTTCGTGTTAAGACTTCGCCGCCGTGACTTCTGCATACATGAACCACCCAGTCTTGAGTTATTACCGTGACGGTTATCGGGTTCATCCCAGCCCATTAGCAACAGACAATAATGATTTATCCATACAAAGAAATACTAATTATTATAGCACCTTTTAAAATATTATCTGTCTTTTTCTTAGAAGAATTTCAAACTTGTATAGACAGAAGATATTATTTGAAACATTACTTGAACTAATTATTATAACAAATTTTAAAATATTATTTATACTAACCAGTGTAACACTTTTTTATAATGTAATATATGTAAAATAAAAAAATTATTAAAAAGACAAAAGGATTATAAAAAATTGCAATTATGAAGTAAATAAAATAATATTTAAAAAAATTTAGCTATCCAAAGCTAATATTAATTTGCTGAACAATATAATGATTATATATATATTATCATCATTTTTGTATCTTACTACTACTATTTTTGGATTTCACATATATAAAAAAACTTCCTGATGATCTTCCGTCCGAGAGCACTCGCTAAGCATTGCTATTACTAGTACTAGTACTAACAAAGAAAAGGAGAGAGAGAGAGAGAGGGCGATAACCAAAAAGCAAGTGGGGACCCACAAAGGCTGATAGACCTGAGAATTCAAGCACGCATCTGATGCGCGTTGCATCACCGCTCCCTGATTCTCTTTTTCACACACACTTCTCACTTTCTACTTAGTGTAGTGAAGTCTACTACTGCTCCTACTATCACTGCTGCTACCACTACTGAGCAAATTCAAGCAGACAGCAGCACCAGCTTTCTCTTCCTCTTCCGGCGCTTTCATTTTCCCCACCTTATTCCCCACCAAAACAAAATCCCCGCAACACTCTTAACCAGCCTCTCAATCTCCCAAAATTTCTTCTCACCCATTTTCCGATTCCCTCACAAATTCTTCTCCATGCAAGTCATTGCTCACCACCGTTTTGAATCATAATCTTCAGCTAACTTCCCTTTTACCCTGTCCCTGTTATTGTTATCCGCTTTTCCTTCCCTAGAAGAAGAATGGGTTGTCATTCCCATATTTGCCTGCCTTGTTTTTCTTTGTAGTAGTATATAGAAAATTTCCATCTTCAGTAGGGGGAAAATTAAACTTTTCCTCCATTTCTTTGCTTATATAAAAAAAAAAAAAATTTAGAGGACGAGAGTTTCTATACGTACAAGTTTGTGAAAAATGGAGAAAAAGCAAGGCTTTTTTTCGGCGATAAAGGAGGAGGTAGTAAGGGGTTTATCGCCGTCGAGGTCACGATCAAAGAGCCCAGCAAGGAGCGCCTCACCCATCTCGGCTTTGCTCCGGAGGAAGAAGACCAGCGGTAGTACCAGCAGCAGTGGTAACAGCTACGTAGCGAATCCCGAAGCGTTGATTGCGAGATCAGGGAGTATGAGGCCGTTGGGGGAGACTCTGACACCGTTAATGGAAGGCCCCGATCCGGATGGAGGTGAAATCGGGGAGTCGAAGCGGGTCGGGTTGGGTCAGTGGATGAAGGGTCAGCTCTCTCGGGCCCCGTCCGTGACTTCAAGTGGGTACGGAAGTAGTAACAACAACACTTCCGGGGGAAGCTGTAATAGGAGGTCTGATCTGAGGTTGTTGCTAGGTGTCATGGGTGCGCCGCTCGCCCCGGTTCACGTTAGTTCTATGGACCCTCTGCCCCATCTCAGCATCAAAGACACCCCCATTGTGAGTCGATATTTATGAACCTTTTTTTCCGTGTAATTTCTTGCTAAGTAGTTGCGTCCTAGTGTTTTTTGTTTTTTGTTTTTTTTTTTTGCGGGGGAAGAAAGATTTTGATTATTTTGGTTGTTAATTTGTGAGTAGCTAATTAATATCTTGTGATGCAGATGTCGACTAGCACGAATACAGATTCTACTACTGTTATCGAACTTGTTGGTCTGTTTATTGTAAATATTAATTTGAAGTGTTTTGGTGGTGGGGCTGCAGGGAATGGTGGTTGGAGTCTAATTTTTGGGACAACTGAGTACTGAGGTGGTAGAGATTTATTCCAAGCTTATTTTGGGTGGGTTGAACTGTAATGTAATTGAAGCAATGGTTGTAACTTTTTCATGTCGTCGATGGGAAATCCTGTCCTAAGTGAAGTGCATGCGCCAATTTTGATACAAGATTGTCAAATTCTGACTTGACCAATTTGTATGATCCTCTTTGTCGAGGCTAAGGTTCGCTCATACGGGTTGAATTGGTATTAGGAAGTGGTGTGTAAATGTTACCTGGTATCTTGTTTAAGGTTTGTGTTGGTTGAAATGCAGCGTTGTCATTTTGTCTGATCTGGCGCTCTGATTTTGCAGGAAACTTCTTCAGCCCAATACATATTGCAGCAGTATACTGCTGCATCTGGTGGTCAAAAGCTTCAGAATTCTATTAGAAATGCTTATGCTATGGGAAAGCTGAAGATGGTGGCTTCCGAATTCGAAACTGCAACAAAGGTTGTGAAGAATAGAAATGCTGCTAGAGCTGCTGAGTCTGGAGGTTTCGTCCTGTGGCAAATGAATCCTGACATGTGGTATGTCGAGCTTGCAGTTGGCGGTAGCAAGGTACATGCTGGTTGCAATGGCAAGCTTGTTTGGAGGCACACACCTTGGCTTGGGGCTCATACAGCGAAAGGGCCGGTTAGGCCTTTACGCCGTGCTTTACAGGTTAAAACTAGTGACAAGCTTTGTTTCTACCGTTTCCTCGTTTATGTTTTCTTGTCTTCTCACCTCATCCGGCTGTGGTTCTTCTGTACAGGGTCTTGACCCAAGAACAACAGCCGGTATGTTTGCAGATGCCAGATGCATTGGAGAGAAGAAAATTAATGGGGAGGACTGCTTCATTCTCAAGCTTTGTGCTGATCCTCAGACACTGAAGGCAAGGAGTGAAGGGCCTGCAGAGATCATTAGGCATGTCCTTTTTGGCTATTTCAGCCAGAAGACTGGTCTTCTTGTGCACATGGAGGATTCACATCTTACCCGCATTCAATCTAATGGGGGTGATGCAGTTTACTGGGAAACCACTATTAACTCTTTCTTAGAGGATTATCGTCCTGTTGAAGGTATAATGATTGCTCATTCTGGTCGTTCAGTGGTTACACTTTTCCGGTTTGGGGAGATGGCAATGAGCCATACGAAAACAAGGATGGAAGAAGCTTGGACAATTGAAGAGGTGGCGTTCAATGTTCCTGGCTTGTCTTTGGACTGCTTTATTCCACCAGCTGACTTACGGTCAGGGTGCATGAGTGAAGCCTGTGAACTCCCTCAAGATGAAAGGGCAAAGAGTGCACTTGCGCTTGCTGCTCACCGGGCAAAGGTTGCTGCACTGGAGAAAACTCACGGCAGCAACATGGATAATGTGTTCTGGAAAGTTGAGGTCTAACCTAACAGGATCAGTGCCGCAATTGTTTATATGGGTAGGCAGTTTTTAATATTCTAACGAAGTAGAAATTAGGAGCTAAGCAAAATTAAGTTAGTTGAATATGCATCTACTATTCTGTAAATGGAGCATAATTATTCACAGGCTCTTGCCTGGAGCCTGGATGAATATTTATGCTCTCAATGCGGAATCCAACTAAGGGGTTGGAGCTCCTTTTTTTTTTTTTTAAAGTAATGGATAGAACATGCGGAGGCTAATGTTTTGGTTACCTTCCAATAGTAAAGGAAGGTGGGGAAGCACAAAACCTAGGCTGAACCATTGACCTTTGAATGCTGATTTCATACTAATTTCACCGTCCAAATGTATACCAACTGGGCAGTTTGAAGAATCGTCCTCGATGAGGTTGATACTTCAGCAGTAGTACTAGTGTTTTAGCAGTTCTTTCAAGTTCTTTTTATTGCAGTCTTCTTGCTTTAACCTTGATGGTTTTATGGATTTAAAGATATTTCTTTCTGCCGGCCTGGAGGATGGGATTTCTCTGGTGGCCGGGATAAAGGCTAGGTTGCAGCCTAATACCATGAAATCAGACCATGGCAAATTGGCGGCAAATATTGCTCTTATCTGCTTTAGGCAACAGTTCTGATACGGGCTTCCGGCTGTGTTGTGGCATTTTGTCAGTCTTGTCAGGAAAAGATGTAATTTTAAAACTTTTTCCAGCAGATAATTTAATGCTCAGAAGAGATGAGCATCATTTCTTTTATCGATTCCTTTGCTATTCATTATTCTTTTTGGGCCTTAGGTAACCGTATCTTAATAATCTGTCAGCAAAACTTCTCCGCTGGATCAGAAGGCAATTCACATGGCAAAGCAGTTGTGGCTCTTTTCCCATCCAATCCTGCTGAAACTGCAGATAGACCCTAAAAATCTTTTTCAGATTGGCATTTTGTTAGATTTCTAGTCAGCTATTCATTCAAAAGTTGCATCGTCTTTTTCTTCCTTCGTATATTTTGTTTTGGTTTCGTGGCCGCCCTGTCTGTGCATTGGAATCATGGAACGTTGAGGAAGCTCGAGAAGCAAGGAGAGTGGTTTGACCGCGAGTTTTCCGTATCCTGTACTGGAGTTTGCCTTCATCTTTTCCTCGTACTCGCCTCTGCAAATGTAGCGAGTAAACTTTTTCATCTTCTCCCTTTTTTGTCTTTTAATTGGAGCCAATTCCATCCTCTAGCCTGTAAAGTGTAAAGCCCTTCTCCTCGTTGGGGGTATTTTCCATGGCCTGAGGATGTAGCGTGTGTGAGAAATTATCATTGCACCAAAGGCATGGATTGGGGGCAAAAGTCGTCCCAGATCCCTGCGGTCTCCTAGTCATCCCTCTCTTTCTCATATTCCATCCTCAAGTGCTCGTGCTTTCTCAAAGTGAAATTGATCTGCCTTTGCAGTCAATTTCGCCTCCTCCTTTACCCCACCCATCACCTGCAATTTTTCACTTTCACTACTATATGTCAAGCCTGTAAATGATGGTAGCAGTAGCAGGTACATGCTTGTGGGGAAGTTTCTAAAGATCTACTCCATGATGGTGTCCCCGCAATGGTCAAATTTCCGGATTGATGGTGGAAACAGGTTTCTATTGATTGAATATTTGAATGGTGGGTGACTCGTACATTTTAGAATGTCGCAATAGCATAAATGGTCTCCCCAGTGACTTGTGAGAGAGAGCGGCATAAATGAGTCTGCCGGCACAAGGACAGCCCAGTAACAACATTTCATAATCTATCTTCTTCAGGACAGCAAATCATTGGAATCTTCTTTTATTTAAAGGAATAATTTTAAAAACTTTCCTGAAAATCTGACAGGCAGTTTTACCAGTTCTCTGGAGATTTTAAAAATTGCATCTACTTTCCTTATTCGCTAAGAATGATAAGTCTTTAACATTTGGATAAAATTCCGGAGTTGCTTATGCAAAGAATATATGAGTTTTACAGTTTTTTTTTTCTTCTTTTTACCACAAAGTCATGAACATTGATCTTAGCCTCTATTGTTGTTGTCATACTTTAAACTAGTAACTTTTTATTTGACAATTTTGAATGCGATCGATTTTTTCTACCTTTCTTTTTGTTTACCAAAAGCAATAATGACTCTAAAAAGAAAAGCCCAAAAATGCTTTCAAACTATAGGCCCTGTTTGGCACTTGAGTTTTTTTGTCAAGTTTGTCTGCTATAAGTTTTTTAAAAACTTTAACTACAGTAATCTCAAAAAACTTCTCAAAGTTTTTAAACTACACATTTCAAAATATTCAAAAATTTACACACTTCAAAATTTTTTTTAAAAAACTACTACAGTAAATTACATTAAAGTTTTAGACAAACATTCAAAAAACTCACTTGCAAAACGGGGCTTATGATAGTTCCACCAATCCAAAAATTCGTAGAACTTCGAAAGAATTATGACGAACTTTCTTGTCCAACTTAGGAAAAATATCTATGAAGGGTAAAGCACCGTGGAAAGTAACCTATCCATAGTAATACAACTATTACTTGTTGCTTATCAAATAATAAATGGATATTAAAAACATTACACTTTTTCGTTACATTTGTGCCAAATCTCAAAGGAATTCAATAAAATTGTCAAAATCGTAATAGAAGTTTATGAAATTATCCCAATATTTAATGAAAAGAAATAATGCAGAATTTAGATCCTTAAATAGGGAATGCAGTGTGATAACCTTTTTGACTTGAGTTGGGGGCGTCTTCCACTTTGCCCTCGGTAATATTTTCTCAAACCCCACACATAAAATTGATAAGGAATACATGGTAAATTTAGGAGGGGGGGGGGGGGAATTAGGTTTGCAGGTATGAATTTATACATGTACCGTGGAATCAACCATGCTATCACAACAAAATGTAACATGTCTGCATCATTACAATTAGTGACAGAACCACAATGTTTTTATTTCGAGTAGGCAAACTTCATGCACATAAATTTAATTTGTAATCAATATAAAAAATTTTAAATTTGGGGGGGGGGAGCAGAAAGTTTAATGTATAAAGGACACTCAATAATAGCTTCCAAGTCCTTAAAGTAGAAAAACAATTTGTAGGACTTGGGTCGGTACTCCATTCTAGTTCCATCCTGAAAGAAACGATCAAATTGGAACATGGTTGCTTACCATTTCTGTGTCCGCCAATACCTTTACATGAAAAACACATCCCTACAGCATCTTTTAACTACCTCGATGAATGTGGACGAGTCCAAGTAATGCCTTTTAAAGTGGGAAACCAGACCTAAATGTGTGTCCTCTTAATAATTTCATACTCAAGCAAACTAGGGAAGTCAAAAGATGAAAAGAAAAAAAAAAGGGGGGGGGGGGGAAAGAAAGTCTGAAGGTCATTCATATTCATTCAAATACATTTGAGATGAGACACTAGAACGAAATTCATAGCATAGCTCATAATTGTTGCCATAGCTCTCAAGTCCATTCAATGTGAAAGGTTCAATCATGCATGTGGTCCTGACTCCTGACAGTCTGCAGTATCTCTCCCATTGCCTGATTGGAGAAGAAGGATCTGAGGATTCTTAAGCCAACCACCGCCTGCAGGCTGCATCCATTGTGGACCGGTTACTACTTACTACTACTACTAATACTCTTCTGCCCTGATGTTCTTGGAGAGGCTTGGAAAGGGAAAGAAAACAGTAGCCTATTGGCCTTGGGACCAAATGGGTCATGGCTTTCAATTCGGCCTATCCTGCCCAGTACGTAGCAGTTTTTCACTCTGAGTAACTAAATGCCAGTTCCCATTGTACAGTTATTTTTGTTTCCTTTGTCCTGGAAAAGTTAGAAGCTGTGTATGCTGCTGTCACTGATTTGTGCATAAACCAGTTTGCCGACCACTGAACAAAACTCATGAAACAAAAAAGTACTGCTTAATAAAACAACAAGAAGGTACCTAGATCGATACTTAAATGTTGGGGGGGGGGGGGGGTTTTGACCTCCAACTGATGATCCTTGGAGAATTAGGATACATGAAGCCCTTCTCTCAGTTCTTCCTTAAAAGTTGGCAATGGCAGGGGTAGTTTATATTTATTTTTTGGATTCTAAAGTTTGACTTGGAACTACAGTTTCAAACTCCAAACCCTATTACTTGATTGTGTTTCTCAGGGTTTGTTTGGATTGAGCATTATTTACCCAGTTTTATTTGCTTACATCATCATTACAATTTCCAATACACCTTTTTACCTTCCCAATTACCTTTTTATCTCACATACATCACATCACAAAAAGTGTTACAGTAAAAATATTTCAAATAATCCCAAATAACTTACAATCCAAACAAACCCCTATTAGGATGTGATTTTTTTAATGCAACCAATCTAATTTCAAATAAACGACCCAACATCACATGCAAAGGCATATACATGTGGAACTCCCCGAACGTGCACTTATAGATTTGTCTCCAATTCGTCAATCACCGATCAACGCTTACTGCTAATTTTTTCCGGAAATGGCGAGGATGCATTTATGATTTTCACTTTCACTGCTAATAGAAATTCTTGCTGCTCCTTTTTTGTTGTGATTTAGTACTATTTGTAGTATACAGTGGGGAAGGGAGTTGACGAGTCATGAATTCTACACTACTTATTAAATACTAAAAGTGAGGACAGGATCACTTTGTCGCCAAGGGAAAACCCTAAACACACCTCGTACACACAGAAACCCTTTTCGTACACACAGAAACCCTTTGATTCTTGGCGCATGCAAAAGAACAAGTTAATGCATGAAAAAGGGTGGTTCACATTAACAAGGCCGCTTACAACAGCTTAGCTAGCAACCCTACATTAAAATCTCATTCTCTATATTTGGATTGCCATAAAAATTTTATTACTCTTACCATAACTATATTTAGAATCGATTACATATTTATCCCGTATCCATCAAATCATTATAATATATACTATCGTAAATTTCTTAAAAAGTAGCAATCAAACCACGAGGAGAGTGCGAATTGGAATCTTCCTTGTATCAATCATGTGCTAATAATAGATGGCTACTGCCCGTTGTATATAGTTGACCATTTCTTGGGCTTGATTCCGAACATGACCAGTCACAACAAATTAAGCTGAGTTTTAGGAATTTGGGTGGCATTTGACCCAATTGTAAACAGAAGGTCACTTACTCGGAACTTGACTTTTAGTTCTCTACTAGTACTAATAGGAAATTAACCGGTGGGCCAATGGCTCAGTAGCTATCAGGAAGGGATTTAAATTCCTTCTCGAGTTGTAGGTGAGGGTTCAAATCTCATAGCACTTCCTTGATCTAGTTGAGTCTGTATAGAAAATTGCTGACAAAAAAAAAAATACTAATAGGAAATTGCTGTACACCACCCTGTACTAGTTTCTAGTACTGGTTGTAGGCTATTAGTAGCATCAATTATCAAATAAATCTGTCGGCAAAGGGAAGCTTCCCAATGGGGACGCATCC